GAGAGGGGACTGAAACCAGTTAAGTTTAAACTACAGGTTGAACCTCTCTAGTCTAGTACTCACTGGCTCAGCATGATTTCAGCTAGCCAGATATCCACTTACCATGGGTGTGCCCAAGCTTCCGGTGGTATCATGAAGTGTGGTGTGTCTTTTTTTTTTTTTTTTTTTTTAATAGCACCAGTTCTGGTTCTGTGTTCTGTGCTGTTTATTCCTAAATGTCTTCTAAGAGCCCAGTAAGCAGGGGAAGTGTTGGTAATGCTGCTCGACAATATTGACCTCCTGTGGTTTGACACATTCTCTGCTTCCATGCAGGTCAGATACTGAGTGTGCCCATTTAGAGTGGTTCAACCTGTAGTGAATGAAGAGTCTTTACTTACAACCTTTCTTTTTAAATTATAAACAAAAATGTCATATCAGATCTCCAACTTTTTTTAAATGGAATGTCTAAATTTGGTGTCCAGTTAGTGTCATATGATGTTTGGAATTTTTAAATGACTTCATATTAACTCAAGTGCAGTGATATAGCTTAAACCTTTTTTCTGACATATTTATGAAACCATAGATAGAATAGTTCAAAGATTTTGGCCCAGGAAGATTTTTCTGCTCTGGGCTGTCTCCTTTTGTTTAATGTACTGTCTTCTGAGAATGTGGAAGAGATGGGGGTTGGGATCTTGAATGATAATGCACCCACTATAATTAAAACTTTGATAAAACTACAGTGCTTTGAGGTCAAATTAACCTTTTATTTGGGCGTGATGAAACATCTAAACATGACATTTTAACTCTAGTATTTTATAGTAGCATATTTAGTACATTGTTTAGGAATTTATTAAAACTTGTGCTTGCTCTATCATAAATGTTCACACTAAGATGTTGAATGTATATGGAAACTGTAAACTTCAGATGAAGGGTGTGCTAACATTTTATACGTTGTCCAATTAGAATAAATAGGGTTATCTTAATTTTTATAGTAGATAGTGTTTGCATTCATAATTAACCTAAACTATTACTTTTATTTTGCAGTAATATTTGGTGAAGATGTAGCCTTTGGTGGAGTCTTCAGGTGCACTGTTGGATTACAAGACAAATATGGTGAGTTGTTTGTATAAAAACTGTTAATGTTAGATTAAAAATTTTTTCCTCTTCCAGTAGTTTAATCCTAGATGGGAGTCTTGAGTAGAAAATCATGTAAATGGGTTTGTTTTTGTTTTGAAATAGTAGATGATTTGAACAGGTTTTATGATTGTTTAATAATTAAACTTGACCTCATGAGTTTATAACCTTCAGCTAAGTAGACTTACATAACTTTTTTTTTTTTTGGGGGGGGGGCGGCTTTTAAAAGAATTCCTGGTTGTTTTGTCTCAATCAGATAAGACATATTTATCACAACTACTAATGTGTGGTCACTCTCAACTGTATTGCTTCCACAAAGGTGATGAAATAGGTATTTCTGGATTCTGTCCATAGTTGATCAGGAACTGAGTTAAGTCCTATATTTAACTTTTTAATAGTTTTTTTTCCCCATATTGTTCATCTATCTAGTGTTTGTAATCATATTTAAGCAGTCTTCAAAACTTGATTATTTTACTCATTTTTCTGGGTTTGTTTAGGAGCTTGAAAAATATTATTTTTCCACAAATTAACCAGAACAGTCATTTTTTTTGTAACCTACCAGATAAGAAAAGTATAACTTGTGGAAACTGTATGGGAGGAGAAAAATGTTACTTTACCCAAGAATTGAATGATATGGTAAATCTCATGACCCTTGTTTTACTAATGAGGGAAGAAAGGAGGAAGTTTATTTAAAATACTCAGTAATCTAAACTATTTCTTCTTACGGATTCCTTAGTGTACTGTCCGAGCATCTGTCAGATGGCACAGTCTCAATAATCCTTTTTTCCCTTTGTAGTTTTCTGTCCAGATTCCTGTAACAGATATTTTTTCCCCTTTTCCCTAGGGAAAAGGCAAGACGACTTGCCTGATTGTCCTTGAATTACACTGATATAAGTCCTGATTTGTGAGAGAAGAATCAGGCTCATAGCTCTTTATGTTCTTGTTGTTAATGGTAGTTTTTTCTCAGGAAAATGCAAAAAAGTCAGTTTTTTGAGTTTCTGCTCTACAATTTAAATAGCTTTCTTTACTGGTTACCCATTGAATGTATGATTTTTAAACTTATTTTTATTAGAACCACAAAAGCTATTGCTGTGTAAAATGTTAGTGTTTCATGTACTACAGGCAGGGTAATAACTACAGCTAATAGGAATGTGAGCAACTAGGTGACTATCTGATAAATGGATGCTTATTGGATAGTCAACATGTTAGTTGACTAGTTGCTCCCTCCCCCCTACCCCCATTGCCTCTATCAGAGAGAGGCAGCAAAGGGGGGGGGGGAGAAGAGGAAGGGGTGCTTCAAAGCAACAGAGTCGTGTGGAACTCGGGGCCAGACCCTGGGCTCCATGCAGCGCTGCCGATTTGAAATACCGTGGCGAGCACAGGGTCAGTGGGGGACTGCTTGAGTCCACCCCACTGGCCCCATCCTCCCCACAGTACTTTCGCTTTTGAAGGAGAGCAACAGCCCGAGGCACTTCAAAGGCAGAGGTGCCCTTATTGACTAATCAAATAGTCGATGCAAATTGCATGGACTATTCAATTAGCAAATTAATCTAAATTTTATATTCCTAATAGCTACCTGCATAGTAGCATACTAGAGAAACCATGTCTATACTGTCTGGCAGATCAGAGCTTGTTGTAATTCACGCCCCATAGTCAGAAGTGCCTCCAGGAGAAGGCCCCTTTTCTGTCGCCCCTCCCCTCTTGGGGCAGGGCCATTTTATCCTGTCTCATGCCTATACAAACTATAATCTGTCCTGCCACCAGAGTACACAACCCTCCTGTATACAGTAGTCCTACCCTGCGCTTCCAGTTGCCAGAGGTAGGGGGACCCAGGCCCACCTGCTCCACTGAGTCCTGACCCAGATCCCTAAAAGGGAGAAACGCTCAGTGTTCTTTCTCCCTTTGGCTGATGGGGACACTGACTGTAATAAGTCAGCCTACAGGATTCAGAGAGCCCCTTCCATGGGACGCTTCCCCTTCTATTTCGCCCCGTCTGAGTACTGTGTCCAGCATTTGGCTGTTCCCGCGGCCTCCCGAGTCCACAGTGGCATCTGACCTCCTCTGGGGTTTCTGGCTAGGCACGGTTGAGGGTCTGGGCCTTCATCTTCCCAGGTCCCTTGGGCTGAAGTCCCTGTTGCCCCCCCT